ATGATGATGTTTCTTTTCATTTACTTCCTTTCTATTAATCAAAGATGATTTAACTTGCTTATTCATATAAATATCTTTGACATTTTTAATATCATCTGAATCTTGACTAGATGAAGTTAATGATTCACGTGCTTTATAGGTAATTGCTTGTTGTGTAGAAGATGGGAGTAATAAATGTTTTTTAAATTCTCCATATTTAATTTCACGATAATCCGATTTATAATAATCGGCTGTAATTGGTTGTTGAGATTGTTGTTTTGATGAATAATTTTTATCTTTTAGTATTTTTTGTTTAGCATCGTTCAAAGCGATTTTAGTTGTATAACATACATTATAATTATAACAGTTTTCTTTTTCACCTATACCATCGTCACTTGATGCCGATGTTGTTGTTGTACTTGTTGTTGTTATAACATTATTAGATGAGTACGGTGAACTATCCGGATCTAAGACCTAAATAAATAACTAAATTAGTTTAATTTGGATCTAAGAAAAGCGATAATGACTTACCTCTAATTCTAACACATTACTTTTCGTATAAACTAATTTTTTAACATCTTCATGAGGTATATCACTGACATTTTTACCATTTACTTTAATAAGAATATGACCAGTTTTAAGTCCAGCATATTGAGCTATACTTCCTACATGAACACATGATATTGAACATGGACGTTCATGCTGAATAGCAAGACCAAATCGTTCATGAGCGTAATGGCGTTTTAATTCAATTTTATGTAAAATTGGATATGATTCACCATGATCAAGAGATAAATCTAACATATTAACATCTATAAAACAATTTTAGAAAGATTTACAATCATAATTGAAGAATTATTTCGCTAACATATCTGAGACATAAAACACCACATAATACTATTTTAAAGGAACGATTAGTTTTCATAGTTTATTTAAAAATCAACTTATGAAAGTGACTCATTATTTATTGTCAAAATATTCGAAACATTACCACTTCTACTTTCCCCTCACTGATGTCTTCTAGCACAGGATGCTCTTAATGAGACTTTAACATAATATTTGATCGAAAGTGTATTATAAATAACTACGATTTAAATTGCAACATGATGTTTATACTTGTATATTCGAAAAACAGTCTTACAACTTCTATGTACAAAGTTTAAGCATAAAGCACAATAAATTTTCAGAGAAAAAATGCAGAACGAAAAAATGCACGCACAAACACATATATAGTTATTGAAATTATATATTTTTAAAAAATATTTGACTGGAAATCTTTTCTTCTCTGCTATTGGCTATTTTTTAATCAAACCTCATTTTATATTTCCTTACTTTAATGATAACAAAACTTTCTTTATACAACTCGATATTTTGTTTATATATGTACAAATTCTATTAAGATAGAAAAAAAGAAAAAATTTATTAAAAGAAAACAGACAAGCGCACAAACAATAAATCGCCTACACACTTACATTTTTATAAATAAAGAACTGTTCAAAACATTTTGTGTTCTCAAGATGAGCTAAAGACATTGTTTACAGAAAACGTATATTTTGTTCCATAGTAGAGTCAAATTTGAACCCATAGAAGAAAAAACAATCGCAATATAGTATTTATGCAATGAAAAAAGTTTTGAACAAGACATAAATAAGATTCAATTAGAAACAAAAGAAAACGAAAAAATTCTTCCTATAAGAAACATATTTTGTCTATAACATTGATGAGAATAATAAAATCATCTATGATCGTGCACAATGCAAACTTCGATCTAAAAGACAAAACAGTTTATGACGCTTATCATAAGATCAGTTCGATAATTGAACGAAAGGGTAGAGATATAACTAACTGAGATTCTTCAAAGATGGAACTTTAACGGATTGTGGATAGAAACGATTACTGTCTCAAAGGGAAGAATGTATCAACTTCATCACAGTCTCGCTCGCTCCTAGATATTCTTTCTCAATTACTGCCAGGATCTTTTAATGCCAAACAGGTTAGAAGAGGTTTTCTATGTAATATCAAATTAACGAGAGAGAAAATGTGATAACGATTGACTTACACATCTTAGTCCTTTTTCCATTGGATCTAACATAAATATGCCTCGCCGATTTAACATGTGCTCATTCTGTTCATTTATATAGCGTGCTGCTTTTTTTACACACTAAAGTAGTACAATTAGAACATACAAATAATAAGGAATAAACGTATGAAATAGTCATTATTTACTTTTTCATAATGTGTTGGCATACATAACAATAACAAATAGCCGGTTAAACAAGCACAACAGTTTTCCATGAATGTTTTAAATGATAATTGTTCAGCATCACCATAAATTCGATTTATTTCTTGTAAGATGTGGACGAATTCATTTTTATCAATCTATACAAAATGAGCAAAAATATATGCTTAGATATCTAGTGGTTTGTGAGATAAAAGGTAATTCTTACTCTTCCTTCTAGTTCAACTGGAAATCTTTCCTGAAATTTAACAGCGGTACCATTTGAATAATCACGTTGTATAAACAATTTGGTTGACTGTGAACTAGTCAAACGTGTCGAATCATCCATCTAGAAACAAGTAAGAAAGAAGCATAAAATAAGCTATAAATTGTAATCGTGTTTCTAATGATAAAGTCTATCCTTGTAAACAAAATTTACTGAACGGCTTGAACAGTAAATATATGTTTGTTTTACACTTTGCAAAAAAACGTAGTGAACCTTGTCTTTAGCTTTATACTTTGTTTTTAAACTATTGCTAATCTGAATGAAAAGTAATCTACATTTAAAAGGTATATAGATGATTCATTTCTTGTATTTCAGAGAACAAATAGACAGTGATTCTTTCAAAACTACACGTGATTATTGCCCTAGCCGGTGTTCCTATTTGTTTTTACAAAAAAACTAATAGTAACAAAGTTTATTTATCGTTTTTTTCTGTCCTAAGTTGGATTGATAGACGCTTCACTCAGAATTGGAAACTTTAGATGGATATAAAGCAATAAAATCTGAAAAAAAATGAATAGCTAGGACTAAAAGTGAAAACTTTTATTATTCAATGTGTTTTATTATTTTTTGTATTTTCATCAAATCGAAGACCCATAATTTATATCGAAAAGGATAAAATAAAATACAGTTAGTACCGTAAGTCAAACTTATATTGTTTACTTGGAGTAGGGTCTTATCCACACAATACCATTTAACGCAAATTAAGCAAATTTCTTTCCATAATTGACTGAAGTCAAGGGAATGAATCTTACAAAAGAGTTGTGTGTGTGTGTTTGTTTGTCCGCAAAACATGGAAAAATGCCATTCAGATAGTACATGGACGCACCAACCGTAAAAGAGAAACAAACGCTAATTTCATTATATTTACAAGTTAATTACTACTTGGAGACGACAATTGAGGCAACATTAGACATCACCCTAAACATGTTTAATGTATCAGAACTAACTGAGAAAGACGTCAAATGCAACGGAAGGCGCGCCGTTATGGTACAATATACACTGGAAGCGAAAACATATTCTTAAACAAGTAAAAGTAACAGAGACGATTATATATCGAAGAAACTATATCTTACTTGCTCTATGTAAAACGACGGATGAGAATTGTCATAGATCTCTAGGAAAGCATTAGTGGGACAGTTAGAGATCTTATAGAAGTCTTCGGAGAACCAGTAAAACTTCTCGATATATCAGATTCGATTGAAAGTGACCTGGAGACGCATACTTCATGCTCAAAGTATTTTGCAGTGCGCTGAGTGAGGGTTATGCGTCCGATTATGCTGTTACTGCTGACCAAATGGACGCGTGCGCTTTCTTTGTTGTTGTAAACGAAAAATATTGAGTGACAGGTTGATACAATCGCCAATCGCTTTGGGAAGGTCGTACTGTTTCCACTTTTTCCGATTATGAATATTTGCTGTACACATTATCAATGTTTCTAATGGCAAAGCGTACATACGCTTCAGAATTTAAAAATACGCTCTGTTTTACGCTTTGCTGAGAAAAGCAGAGCGTACAGTATGCTTTGTTTTCTAATCGAACTTTTTTTATATGTAAGAGAAAATAATCTATAAAGTTACTGAAGAAACTGTGTTTAAGTGAGTACCCAGACAGGAAAAGAGGCTTTTTTCTTATTATACAAGATCAGCGATGGTTTTCTCTATTTGTAATTGTCTGTGTCTGCAAAGTTGCTTTCTAGGAAAAAGCGTGTATAAAGAAAGTGTTGATTTGAAGATTTGAAACATGTACGCTTTGTGAGAAAAACAGTGTACACTTTGATTGGAAAAACAGAGCGTACTGATACGCTTAGTGGATAAATTCTGTTAGGAACACTGCACATTATGTAGTACTTGTGAGTGTAGCACAGCTTAAGTTAACGGACCGAGGGAATCGTAGATGAGCGAGCGTTACCTAGTTTATTAACTACTTGTAATCGGCAAAAACGGAAATATTTTCTTTATTGTGAACACAACGTTCCATTTTATTGTCATCACTGTACCAGATTGCCTGATTTACTACTTAAACAAGGGAATAAAAGAGCAAATAGAGCTTTTAGTGACTTATGCAGTATGTCTGACAGTTCGAAATTTTCTTTTAGTACAGAAAATCAATTGATTAAAGGCAGATTTTTATGTTGATTAATTGACATCTCGAGTTTTGAATTTAATGTGAACTTGACCGACAAGTGGCACCTTTTATTCCAAAAGAACATTCCATTTCGCCCTTGTGCTGTATAGTAGCGATCTTTTCCTTCTACGAATCGATGAAGTTATAAAAGGTAAAGTTAAGACGCTAAGTAAAAAGTAGCTATAGTTCTTTAATGTCGCTGACATTCAAAAGTCTTAAGAACAGTTTAATGCTCGATAAAATGGTATGTTCCTTAATTTCCGAAATAAACTACTCAGAGGCGACCGATCCATGGGGATCACGAGTGCTTTGGTATTCACAGATTTTAAAAATTTTCGTTTTCTTCCAGCAGAAACTAATTTTTTCTTTGGATTCTTGTCCTTGAACACCCACAGTTTCGAAATCATTTCGCTGCCTCTGAAACTGCTGGATGTTTTTCTTATTTAGATGTTTGCTTGTGCTTTGATTTTTGCTGTTTTGTTTATTATGTACAGTAAAATTATATCTATTTGTGAAATAATAACAATGTAGATTGATAAAAGAATATTTTTCTCTTGATCTCTAATTTACTATTATAGAAAAAGTTTTAACTGGAAAAACGAAGGACTGCATGTCCTGTTACATAACACAAGTCGTGTTGAGCATTTTGCTGGAACCAACATTATTCTCACTAGCAAACATCGGTATAATTCAAATTAATTATGGCAATCGTTGTTCAACTTTCTGCAGTAGTCTAAATTGTCAGATTTCTAGGTCTGATACTTTACGAAGTGACCTGTTTGGAACGACTAGTAATGCGTTGAATGGCAACAGCTTTTGCTTTAAATGAAACGTTAACGTTAATTTTACGTTAATTTTTTAAACTTTAATTTTATAGAAACTAGCACACTGTCAAACAAATGTGTTCCAGAATGTGTCCTTTTTAGATAGTGTCAAGGTAGAGTGTACATTAAAATATATTTAAAATATCGTGTCGAAAATTTTGCGTGTACGCAGGCACCTCCGTAAATTTTGTTGTAAACGGCACATTGGATATGCGCTGAAACATGTCCTGACGACAAGTGCCTCAGAAGAGAATACAATGAATAGTGTTCCTACAGAAGGCACATCATTTGTGCGCTAAAATGTGTTTCACAACTATTCGGTAGTTGTTTGTCATATGATCTTAAACGGAGGGTTCATATAAATGTAGTTGCATTGTCATGTGCGACGTATCCTAGTGAATACACTTGACCCAAGTACTTTGTTTATTATAACGAAGCTGGTACTTGTTTCTTTTCACAGGTAAATGTACTTGTAGGTACTTGCCTCACTTGACAATCGCTTGTCAAGTAAAACTGCAAGCGCTTTCACAAAGTACTTCATAGTAATAAAACCAAGTATTGCAATGTTGGAAAAGTACATGTAAAAGTTCATGACAGGTAAGTGGTTTTGAAAATACTTGCCATTTTGTTCAAATATTTAGCACTTATCAGACAGACAGTCAAGTAATCGGATCAAGTACGTTCACTAGGGTATTGTTGGCGCTATTCACCGAACGTTTCGAGGGTAATAAAGATATCTATATTCAATTGCTTAATAATACACATGTGTTGTACCAAAAATTGACTATAATTCTACAATATTCGACTTCCAATTATGTGCAGCACGCTTCGGACAAATAGAATTATGCTGATTTCAACTAGGTAGTATATTACTACTGGACAGCCAGAAATATCTTTCTACTAAGTTTTTCCCTCATCTTATTATACCTCTAACATCTATAGATACTCTAACCATCAGAAACATCACTCTCACTGAGTCTCGAAACTGTTGAGTCATTATGACTGCTTATCTGAAAAAGGTTAATAAATAAATCACTTGTAACCATACGTGTTTTGTATGTATGTCTAATCATGATGAAAAAGGATTCTCTCTCTCTCTGTGTGTTAGGTAAACACGTCTGTGCGGGTGTTTGTCTTAGGTATTTGAATCTATCTTAGGAATATCTCTTCAATAAATTGATTTGAATTTTAGCTATCAATGGTATAGTGGATGAGGAGTAATACTGACGAAAGGGTGATATACAATTCTTTTTTTATTGCTTACAAAGTACTTAGACAAAAGTGATGGATATCGAAGCTGTAAGTGAAAGGCGATAAATGTATATTTAATCTTTCATCAACATCTCTTAATATTTACTCTATCTTTAAATCATACAATAATATTAAAAAAAATGGAAAACTTATTGCATTTTCTCAACTTACTAAGCGAAGGAGAAAATGTTTATATTTTTCAGACTAATTCTAAAAGTTTCGAGTTTTCATTTTTTTTAAACATAAGACAATGTTTGAAAAATTTCCGTTAGTATTCAGCAATAGAAAAGCAATAGAATTCCAATACCAACACTAATATCAATGCCAATAACGATACCAATACAAATAAGAATAATTTCCGCAATATTCCACAACAAAAACGTTACCATCGCTCGTCTAATCGTTATTGATGCAATGTGACTCAAGCCATACGAAACGACAATACATTAGCCCACAAACTTAATATTTATTCTCACAGTATCCAAAGTCTTGTTAAGAACTTTCGTCTCATCAGGGACAAACCTTTTCTTTTCTTTTAGCGATTTTGACATTCTACCATTTCAAGAAACAAATCTCGATACGACAATTAGTAATGGAGAGATGACCCTCTCTGGTTATTCTCTCGTTCGCCGAGATCGAAATCGTAAGTGAAAGGCGATAAATGTATATTTAATCTTCATCAACATCTCTTAATATTTACTCTACCTTTAAATCATACAATAATATTAAAAAGAACGGAGAACTTATTGCATTTTCTCAACTTACTAAGCGAAGGAGAAAATGTTTATATTTTTCAGACTAATTCTAAAAGTTTCGAATTTTCATTTTTTTTAAACATAAAACAATGTTTGAAAAATTTCCGTTAGTATTCAGCAATAGAAAAACAAAACCCTATAGTCAACATAAAATTATCACTGTTTTGTATCCTCAAAAATGATTTGTACGAGAAGAAAAAAGAGGACATCCACCAAAAAATTGAACTATACTAGACAACTCACATTAGTTAAAGAGGTATATTGTTTTAATGGAGACATCAGTATATTATCGAGCTTTCTTTCTCTTCTTTTTTCTCTTGGCTGAAATAACGTTATTTTCAAATATTAATAGAAACTGTTTAATCGTCACATGTAAATGTTTAACATTATAACATGTTTTAGATAGCGAAAATGATTTAGTAATATTATCTTGTTCTTGTACAAATCTTCGTATATGGGCCCATGTTGTTAGTTTAATCGAAGTGTTTGATGAAACAAATTTTATTGGCGATGTTGCAACATTTATTTTCTTATTGATATACACTAGTGATGTTACTAGTGGGAAAACGTTTTTTTTCTCTATCATTTGAAGATTATTTAATACATTTTCAGCTAATTTAATATTATAATCAAAATTATGATCGAGTTCTTTGAATGTATCTTTATTTTTCGATGCAGTAGCAATAGTATACTTTCGTCGTTGACATAATTCATTATAACTCATACGAGATAACTCTGACCACATAATCAGTTTTTCATCTAATTCTTCACTATTGTTATTATTTGAGTTTAATTTAGCCATTTTAAAAGTGACTTTATCAGAAGTTTTCTTCAGTTCATTTTCATCTAAACCATAAAGAAACAGATAAAAAATTTGAAGTAATATATCACAAATAGTCGACAAACACGAGATATCAATGTTTATTGAAAAACAAACAAACAGTGGGTGACAAATCACATACCCACCATTTGACTCGATTTGAAATTAAATACCCGTTGAATCAATGAACTAACAACACCTTTTGATGGTGAACAATTTTGACCTTGTTCTGGTAAAGAACGATGAGCACTTTTTCCATCATCGACTGATGGTAAAGTTAGATATGCTTGTGCAAAAATTGATTTGTTGTTCAATTGATAATGCGTTGAACACATCTGTTGCTGTGAGATACGGTTTGACAGACTTATGGATTCTAAATCTGCTAAATGTAAACTTTGACTATCGTTCGAGTCTTCTTTATTTTTTACCGATATCAGATTTTCAGAATGTGAATAAGAATTGCAATCGGAAGAACTTCGAATAATTAATTTATTAAAATTGTCATTATAATTCACTTCAGTTGATAAACATTGCGATTTATTATCTAAATATATACAATTCTATGCAAACTTATTAAAACAAGTTTTTCTTAATGTTTTTATTCGATAGTAATAAGCAGAACGAATGTGAAAAGTGATTTGAATAGCTGGAAGAATTTTTGATCTGGAGAGATGTGTATGCAAATTTCATTAAAATTTGCTGATACGGAGAGATCTCTAGCAAAATCAGAACTATAAGAAATTAAATTTTTGAGTCTGACCATCGAATCGGAAACTTTTTGAACGTAGCTCGATCGTATAAAACAAACTTTTCTGGACGAAATGAAACGTCCACGACATTCTTACATTACACTGCATTCATTTTACGAAAGGTTCCTATTTATTTAAACCAGCCAAATCAACAGGAAAACAACAAGAAATGCTGTTGAAAAATTTGTTTTAAGAAGACTAGACGACTTTTTATTTCAATCTATGGTTATATTGTAATCGATCGGAAAGAGAAAAACTTACTATTTTGATTTAAAAATGTTAGATATGTTGGTATTTGCTGTTGTTTAAGGGGTGATGGTGTTGATTGTCTAGAATGAACTCGTACCTGTTTACCAGCAATACTAGTTGATCGTCCACGATTATTTATATCTGCAATTAATTGTTTTTTTATATTCACATGTTTGACTTTGAAACCTGAACTGATGTTGCTGTTATTAGTCGATATCGATCGTTTTTTAAATTCAATTTTAGAATATTTTTTGTGAGAATTTTCTTCGTTGCAACTCAATCCATAATTCGGTATTTGAATTGTATGAACAAATTCATAGTTAGTAGTCATTTCATGTTCTTTCGTTCTGTAAAAATCAATAGATTTATCCATCAAGTTTTGTTTATTATCGAATAATGATGTTGTGAATACATCAATAGCTAAACTTTTCTGTACATATTTACTATCTTCTTCTTCAACATCACACACTGATTTTAAATCGTCTTCAATTATATTTTCTATCCTCTCACTGACTTTTGCTTGTTGAAACGAAGTTGATAGGGATGAATCTGATATCAGACTTTGATGTTCTATAGGCAACGTCTTGTCAGACATATTGTGCTGTTGCAAATATATTTTGACTTCATGCCATTTGTGATTAGAAATTATTTCATCATCTGCTAATGGTGATTGTTGTGGTTGCATCCAACTCTTTTCAATAAAATGTTCCATATTAACAAAATTATTTTTAAGATTAATGACTGCATCGCAATTTTTTGAATAAGGATCGAAGACTTTTTGCAGCTGATTTTCAAAATTAGCATAAGATTGCTCCTCTTCACCGGAAATTTTTTCACCTAAAAAATAAGAGATAGATTAGTCTTGAACAAAGTTGTGCGTTGCTGTAAAATTTTTCGATCAACTATTAACTGAAGAGCAAAAAATTATTTAACAATGTATTATTTGGGCAAAGATTCCTACCATTCCGAGAACGTTGCTGCGCTTCATTCTCTCTGAGATTTTCATTATCAATATTAAAATCTAAACTTTGTTGTTCAAAAGAGCCAAATGATTCAGTAAGTGTTGCTTCTTGATTACTTAAATCATCGTCGATCGGTTTAGTTTGTGTTTGTTTTGTACGAGTTTCTTTCTGTATTTCATCTTCAGTTGGCAATGACATTGTGCCACCATCGGATATACTTGTACGATCATCAACTTTTTTTTGTTCGGCATCCGCATCATCAATACCAAATTGTTCGGTTCTATTATTCAACACACTATCACCACCAAAAAAATCAGGTGTAAATTCGGTACTTGCTTCAACAGCCGTCGACGATTCCAATTCAATCAAATTTGAAAATTTTTGCATTCTATTCAGTAATAAACATTGATATTTATTATTATTATTAGATTTGAGTTTTTTCATTAGTGTGTTGTATGACGTTTGAGATCCAATTTTTCTACAATTTATTGATGATGAACGTCGAATGGAATAAATATATGTGTCACTATGAGCACTTGTAAGATGTGGATTCAAATTTAATGTTTTCATACTTGATATTGAATTTTCCGTCTTACTTGGACTATTAGCAACAGATGGTAATGGTAGAAGAGATTTTTCGATAGTAAATGTTTCACTTTCGTCTGCCATGGAAAATAAAGACGAGGAAATGGAGATTTCAACATCACTATTCAAGACTAAGGTGTCTTTCATATGATCAGTAGTATTTTGTAGTTGATCAAACGGTGTTTCGTTAAAATGTGGTAAAAATAAATATTCATCACTATAGGTTTTTAATAATTTTTTTGGACAATGATAGACTTCGGATAATGTTTTTGATAATTGTTCTACACCATCACCGTGCTCATTATGTTTTGTTTTTTTACATTTTAATTTATTATTATCACTAAATTCTATGAGAAATGGAGAAGATGAATATTGTTGTTGTTTATCGAGCATTTCAGTATTGTTTGTCTGTGTAGCAACAACAGATATTTGTTTTTGTCCTTGCTGTTGAAATATTAAATCATCTGTCGATATTGCACGAGTAACTGTGTCTTTTGAACATATGATATTCTGATATTGGCTAGTATCTTCATACACAGATGTATTGTCTATATAATACATGAAAACACAATCTCAAATTCTAATCAAATTGGTACAAGAGTAGAGAGTCAGACTCTCTCGACTTAAAGGTCCACCCTATCAGAAACCTATTTTCGTTCCAGAATATCTAACCTTGACAAGATTTGGAAAAAATCTGTCTCTTACCTAAGAAGGATGACACTAAAGTTTGAACCCAAAATGTTGAGTTTTCCCAAGATTAGCCTACAGATAAGAATCAAACAGTAGGTGTTTGTGCAGTAAAGATTTCTCTGCCATTTTGAATACTCGGAGCTTACGATGATCTTGGCATGTAGCTGAGACTTAGCACTACTACTTAACAGAAGTGGATTTTTCAAATACTTTTTGTTTAGTTTTTATGAAAAAAGTTAAAAAAGAGTTTTCACTTCACTTTTCTCAAAAATTAGATTGAAAATTAAAAATCCGACTATGTTAAGTAGTAGCGTCAAATCTTGTCTACATTTCACCAAGATCACTGCGCGCTCTGAGCAGCTAAAATAGCGGAGAAATCTTTACTGCACGAATAACTAAAACTAAGAAAAACGTCGTGTATTTTTTACTGTACTGTAGGGCTTGTAGGAAAATGCTTGTAAACTTTTAACAGAAAGTCGCACAGAATTATGCCTTTTCGACTAGAAAACTTTGCTTTATAAATCTACACATTTAAAAAATATTTAAATTATATAAGTATTACGAAAAAAATTAGAATTCGAATATTATACGGGTCGAGGTTTCCAAAAAAACTTCCTCTAAAACCATTAAACCATTAAAATTTATCTTTGGGGTAGAAAGTGGTGCAGATTTTAAAACCAAACACTTTGGGCTATTCAATCATGTATAAATCTCAACATCGATAGTTTTGAAAAAAATTGACTTTTTCGATGGAGGGATTCTTAAGCGTGTCAAAATCATCAAATTTAACTCTTTTTGAACTGAAAATACATACTATTTTCATATATTTGAATATGATTATCTGTCTGTTGAAAGATGCCATTATTCCGATAAATTTGTAATTGAAAATTTTTGTCATGGAATGTGTTTTCACCTGTCAAATGATCAAGTAAAATTTCTAACTGAAGAACAATTGTTGGTTGTAAATCGTATTTATGATTATTTAGTTGTCGTTGTTGATCTAAAAGTTTTCGAATTAGAAGACACAATTCTTGAATCATATATGGTGGAGTTCTACACAATAGCTCTGATGATTTTGTTGGTGTTTGGTGCACTACTAAACTATGAACACTATCATTTTTTACTTCGATTATTCTATCGTTGTTGTTACATTCTTCAATCATTGAATCATTCCATTTTTGTACATTATTATAAAAATTTTTTAAACGGTATAAATCTATTTCTGAATTCAAAACAACATCAATAGGCTTCGACATAACTAAAAGTTCATCGATTGTTGTTGATTCTTGATGATTTTTACTGCCATCATCACGATTCTCGTCAAATATAAGTAGATGATTAATGAGATTATTAATATCTGATGGGACTAATTGTTGAAAATTTTCTTCAACACGTAATGATGGTAATGGTAATAACCATTTCTGATGGTTAATAGATAAAAATGATGCTAACAATTGATCAAATACCAAAAACCGAGCACTGATTTGTGGTGGTGATGTTTGTGTAGTGGGATTATCAAAAAAGGTTAGTTCTGTAGTAGATAATATTGGGTTGATTCTTTCAATATTTTGATGATCATCTGTTTGATATTTAATATTGATCGAAGACGAAGAGGATGAGAGTGTTGAACTTTTTTTCGTCTTTCTTGAATATAGCGATGTTTTTCTCAATTTTTGGCGTTTTAATGATTGACAGGATAGAGGTGAACATGTATGCGACGAATAACTTGATTTGGAAGACGAAGAAAGTGATGAACAATGTTTTCTATGGCTTTTACAACGGGTGGATGATGACAAACGATTATCGTTGTCTTCTCTCCTTTGAACAACTACTTTAGTAGCTTTTTTCTTGTTAATCAATGACCGTGGTTTTCTATGAAGTCGAGTTTTGGCTTCGTTCAATGCTATTTCACCAATCGTCTTTGATCCTCCTAAACATACAAGTGCCATTAATAGACGTTTTAATTTTTTGACTTTTGATTGCTGACCAGAAGATTCTGATCAACACTTTTACCATTCAAAGGATAATTTAAATTTGTGTCCGTTAGTGTCAAACTATTTTGTAAGGATGTTATTTTGAGAATGGGTGATTCAATCGATTGTAAAATAGTTTTTGAATCATTCAGTAGTAAAGATGATTTTGTGAACGATTGACAAGAATTTAAAAGATAAGGATGAGCGGTTCTTAGTGAACTTTTTGTGATATCTGATGACTCTAATATTTTGTTCATATCAGCAGATTTAATGGACAATATGTTACAAGAGGAGACAGAAGTAGATGAGAACGACGACATCGATAGTGATGTGAGATGTTCGACTTTATCATTAACGAGCGGTGTTTCTTTAGGTTGTTCATTGATCTGTTGAAATGTTACAGAAGATGAAATATCACTATTTTCGAGTTGTTGACCAGTAGATTGTTGATTGCGGTGTAATGGTGATGGCATTATTTGTTGGACAACGTGTGAATGTTGTTTATCAAACGAATTCGGTTGATAATGGGATTTATTTGTCGGGAGTTGTTTATTCATTTTTAATAATGGTTTAATGAGTTGTTCAAATTGTTGTTTTCCTTTTGATGGTATTGTCATGATATTTTTACGTTGCGCTTCTTGTTGAAACCGTTGAATTTTACATAATTGTGACGGAAGAATATTAGCAGCTAGTTTTCGCCATGATTGTGTACGATCATGATACCAGGAACGACTCTGATGATGAATAATTTGAGATTTATCATCGTTTGATGCTTTAAAAGATTTATTTGTGGAAACAGCTATTTTCTCATCCGTTTCATCCTAAAAAGATAATGGTGCGGTCATGACCTTCCGAAATAAATCCATAAATCTCTTCCTATCTACCGTTTTCTCTTTCCACTGATCAATTATTATATGATGTTGTTCACCGCCTGTGATAATTGTGGGTCTTATAGGAATAGGTCGTCTAATATCATTATTTCCAGTAATGAACACTGTTTCTGTTGTGTAATCAGACTTATTTGTTGTTAATCTGTCTATCTGATGAATAATTGCTGGTATAATTGGACCATTAGTTCTCGTCCTCGTCGGTTGTTCCTTGTCTGAGTTATCAGTTCTTGCCTGTTCCATAATGATACGTTGTTGTCGATTCATATAGTATTCAACCTCATGATCTTGAGAATCACTGGATGACAATGATACTCGTTTCCGATCATTTTCGCGTAAATTTGTTACTGCTCGACATAGATTAACATGGTGGTGATGATGGCGATTGTTGTTTGACGTTTTGGAACTCAATGCATTAATCAGATATTCACGAAATCCGTCGTCGTCATTATTATTATTTGATATATGTTTCTGAGAGTGTGAAAGTGATTGTTTTGATTCTGACGTATACGGTTGCAATAAACTGGTGGGTTTTGATTGTCGTTTTTGACTGACATATCGTTGTTCATTATGAGCATTCCAATTTTGTCCAAGATATTTTTGTTGTTTTTTCCTTATTTGTCCTTGTCTGGTTAAGTGTGCATGAATTTCACCTAAATTTGTTTTAAATCCACTATATTCTATTACACAATTTTCTTGAAGATAAGTAGGTTGATCTCTTAAATAATCTTTGAAAAGTGTACTTGCATAACATGTATGTGCAGAAATATATTTTTGTGGATAATAATTTGTTGTTGTTAATATTGATCGAGTATCGTTTGTTTTAAACTTTTTATGATATGAATTTAACTGATCAATGACTTTCGTTTCTGTCTTATTCAAATGCTTAACATTCATTATTATAGAGGAAATTGAAAAAGTACATAAAAGAATAAATTGTATCCAGGCTGAGTTGTAGAAAAGAAAGATGCAAATTGGCAATTACACATGGCTGGTATAGAAATCAGCAATAAGAAAAGGGTAAAAACAAGAATGTTTCTACAAAGAGATGATGGTTCCGAAAAATTATTCAAAAATTAAATTAATATTGTGATTTTAGATATTTCAGATAACTGAAGCTCTCATGTATAGTACAAGTACAGGCGCCATTTACTGAACATTGTGTATTTGTCATTCGTCTCCTAGCGTGCGTATAACTAGATTATCATCAAATATTAACATGTCACTCATTTCAATATATTTGTTCTCAGATCAAGTGAAATTACGTCTTGTACGTTCAATTAAATTATCAAAAGAGACACGATCGTTCACTATAATAACAGAAAGAGGAAATAAATAAAAATTATAGTCAATTGATTCTTCTATGTACTTTTATTGTATTATATCACTATTAATTGTTCTTTTCCTCTAAGACTTCACTTATAATAAACGATAAAGAGTACAAATACACACACACATATACGTACATAGACAACCCTCGATTTTATCTTTTCAGCTTTCAGGCTAGCCCTCTTTCAACAAATAGAGCAAAAAAAAATCAAAGTTAAATAAAACAGTTTGGATTAAATTCCGCGTTTTCAATGACTATTCAATCTCGTGAAAGTCTTCTGCATAAATTTAATTATTTTTAACGACTTTTCCAAGGTAATGATGCAACGAATTTCCCTCTTTTTTAGAGAAAAAAACAAAAAGTAAATTTGCGTGTGCTTGCGGTAAAAACAATTCTTTCTATAATTTTATATGTACCATGCGTGAGAAGTAACTTTTATTGCGTGTACACGCATGAGTTTGTTTACTCACACGTCGGTACACGTAAATACGGTCAGACTGTTGGTTTGCACATGTTTTACGAATAGAAAGTGATTTTCCACCAGTGCTGGTGCGCAAATTTCTAAAAAACTACTAATTTTCTCGTAGGCACATTTGAAAATGTTTTTCACGCGTGTTTACACCGTGTAACTTCGGATTTTCTCAACATGAGAAGTCGTTGCTTTGAAACCGAATATTGAGATAAGTAGGCTGAGCAGGCTCCGAATAAGAAATTAAAATTCAGGATTGCTTAAGAATATTAGGGCTTTTTTCACGAAATGGGAAAAATCCCATGCCACATCCCTGCAGTATGTGAAGAAAACGTACAATAAGTGATTTTCAACGAAAAACATGTGAAAACATTGTCTTATAAAAAAAAGCTGCTTATAATAATGTCTCTTTTGTAGATCGATATGCATTATACCAGAAAGTAGCCGTGTTAAAATGTGTTTTTGTTCTTGTCACTTAAAATTTAGTGTTGTATATACCGCTAAATTTTAAGTGACAAGAACAAAAATGGTATACCATCGTTCATTATGGTATACCATCTTTGAAATACATTGTGTTAACATCGTCTTTATATTGTTCAATAAATAAATGTTTCACATCCTAGACAAATCGTTCTTGTCAAAGTATTTACAGTTCAGAGTATGATGATAATTGAATGTTTGTCAAATGAAAACATTTATCATTTATAAATCTTAAATTTTCATTTACCGTAAAAAGAAAGAATAAAAAAATAATTCCGTTGCTATTAAAAGGCACAACAATAGATACACCCACATATATGAAATACACGCAAATACTGTATACCTTCGGTGATGAAATCATGATAAAAATGCTGAAATAGTAATAGAATTTTATTTTTGTCAGTTCTGTCGACAAATTTGTTCAAGTGAAATGAATAGAATGAGAATCAAATACGGAAAATCCAACCATCTGTCACTATTTATTTTTACTTTAAGTCTAATAATAATTTCAATTTATTTTTATTGGTATTTAAAAATTAAATATCAACGTTATAGTTATAGTATTTTTAAATTAAATTTTTTTGAAAAAAATGATTCAGCCAATTGCCAAGATGTCAACGTGTACGGAAATGAAAAGGAAATACGTTGTTATCCATTATTGCTAAATTATGGGCATGATTGTTGTCAAAATGCCCAAAGTAGAAATTGTCAAACAGGCATCCATTATGGTTTACGACAATGTTTGAAGTTAGACACGTGGATATTTGATAATGACCAAGACTTTCAAGAACGGAATAAATATATTCTATCGAGAAAACGAGGAGCTGGTTATTGGTTATGGAAACCGTACATTATTTCAAAAGAGCTTTATCATGCTCGCGACGGCGATATTATTATTTATTCAGATGCTGCTGTCGATTTTATTGCCAATGTATCTTATATGCTTAAATTGGTAGAACAGCAAGATATTATTCTCTTTGAAGTTCCAGGAAAAGTATAAAGAGTTTTGATTTTCACGTACTTGTTACATAGTCTTAGGTCTTATGTGTACATTATGCCACTTTTAAAAAAGATTCAATCATCTAGTTTCAATTCCTTTACTTTACTTGTCATCTCTTTCATATTTGTGCACGAGTTTAAACAGTTGATAAGAGAAATCAGTAGGGAACTTCATTATAATAACTTATCCAATAGGAATCTGAACGATTCTTTATACTGTGTTCGGGTCTGCATTATCTGCTTACTCAGTGCAACAAAGTTTGAGTAGAGTTGATTTAAACGCGTTTGTTACTAGACCAATCGTCAAATGGCATTGTAGGTCCACGATTCTCATATGAGCAAGATGCGTCAAGATAAAAAACATGAAAGATAAAATACTTAAAAGATAAAAACATGAATAAAATTTAAAAAGAAATTTAAAATGTAGTCGAGTAAGTGTCTGTAAATAGGAAGAACATAAAATAAAAGATGGAAGATGCCATGTACGGTGAGCAAAACACTAATACTATAGTAAACAGTAAATCAGTAGTAATTGAGTACAGTAATTCAGTAGAGTTCAGAGTGATATATCAAAATTTCGTTTATCAGAGGCTTACTGTCACACAGCTGAACTATTGACCACTGACGTACAGAACGGTCCAGAATCCTTTCCTTTTGTTCGGGCAGCCGATATTTTGGAGGCTCCGTTCTACGCTCATTCGATAGAGAATTTTTTGCTCCAAGGTGCCAATAATGCAAACTTCTAGCAAAATTTTTTTTGAAACATATTATACACTATTGGGTAGCCATCGTCGAGCTGATCACAAAAATGTGTCTTTTAACTTTTCAAACCTGATTTTTCATGTCGAAAAATCGAAAATACTCGAAGGATCTTAAAAGTCGAAAAACCCTTCGAGTTAGAAAAAGTTCAAATTTTTGCCTGATTTTTCTGTTTATAATTTTAAACCTATTTTTTTCTTATTCAAAACTGAGTAGAAAAAAGGATATTTGATTAGTTCCCGAATACGATATTTAGTGTAGAATATGTATTTCAAAATTTTTAGTTGATTTTCATTTTTTTGCTAAAAATCTCGAAGATTTTTCAACGTGAAAATCGAAAAAAATTAAAGTACTGGGATAGGATAGAGATACAGATCAGTTGTTTCAGCTTGAAGTGTAGATGAATGTTCCAATGACTCGCACAAAACTCGATATTTTTACCAAACTGTATGCTCGCACCCAAAGACCATCAGATAAAGACGTCGACAGTGGACAAGCTTTTCATCTTACAACTGACTAAACGTCATCTTTTCTACTTAGTTTTTGCCGCTGAATAAGAAAAAAATAGTTTTCAAATTATAAACAGAAAAATCAGGCAAAAATTCGAACTTTTTCTAACTCGAAGGATTTTTCGACTTTTAAGATCCTTCGAGTGTTTTCGATTCGGTTCGGCATGAAAAAAGGTTTGAAAACTTAAAAAACAGATTTTTGTAATCAGCTCGGTGCGGGCCACCCTGCTTCTTTAATGAAAAAGAATTTATTCATTAAGTTCACTTCGGCTCAATATGAGAGCATTATTATAACTCGGTCTCTTCTGCACGCTTTCTTTTTCTTTTTTTCCCGTTCACTTTCCTTTCCTTTTCCTAGTAATCGAGATTATGTTATTTTATTTTATAAAATTACTATATAAAAGAGAAATAATCATTTTCAATAAAAGAGTTCTTTTTGTTCACTTCTCACGCTCATTCTAACCGGAGTTGAGGGACGTAATGTTTTACTTTTTCATAGTGGTACATTTAAGAAACTAAGCATAGAGGTTATTTTATTCAATTAAATCTTTTTATTTTTGCTGTTCAGAACAAACTTGCACTTCTAAACGCCATGTACCTCACATTACCACCATATTTGACGAAGATTTTCTAAAGAATAGTTCAAAATCTGGAAAAGGAAGCAGTTCCTGGCCATTCTCTTTTTGTTTCTGTAGACGCACTCGAACACCCATCGCTCTGAAATTAAACCTTCTTATTCTTTCTCATGTAGACAAGTTTAAGCTGTGCGCTATTTCTGACATCTGAATTTCGAAAACTTATTTTCTTTCCTGAAGACCTCGTTGTTGCAGCGATACTCCTTTCTTCTGCTTTTATGAAAAATATGTTAGAAAGTGACAAGTTGTCAAATTTTAGAGCTCTTAAGGACGAAGTTACTTAATAGTTTTAGGGATAGCTTTTACTAACTTTGGTCTTCACCATCATTAACCGACAGATCTAACTTGTAGAGCGTGTCGTCGTACAGAGAGAAATTTGGTTCACTACGTCCTCCAAGAGTATACAAGAAAACTTTCACATTCTCTCAATATCTTTTTAAATATCGAGTATTTATATTTATTTAAAGTTTTTCTGATGTTTTATGTTTCGACGTTTCATTTGTAGTATATACGCTCGAGAAAAGTAATATTTTCGAAGAAGTATTAGAGATTTTTAACACATTTAACTCAAACACAAAGAACGAACCTTATTTATCAGACGGAACCTTTTTTTAAATAAACATAAAGGTTGCGTACCGAACCATTTTATCCTGAACCCTGTTTTTGAAACATAAGAAATGATTCCATACTGAACCCTTTTTTGGACGAAACCTTTTGAAGATTCGGCATGAGACCCAATGACTGAACCCTTTTTCAGCACGTATGCTTAGGTATTAATAACAAGAATAAATAATTAATAGTTAATTGATAGATTTTCTAAAATTGCAAAAAAAGCTCAGCCTTTCATTCCCGAATTTTTTCTTGTAGAAAACATACATATAATTTCTAATGTTTCTTATTTTTGTCATTAGGAATCGCAATATACAAAACGTGATACGTTTGTGATAATGAATGCTGATGAACTACAATTTACAAGTTCAACATGCACTGCTGCATCATATATTATAGTTAAAAAAAGTTGGAAATCTACACGATTCATTAATGAATGGTTAACATATGCTCAAGATTCTCGTGCGATTACTGACGATAAAAATTTGTTGGGTAAAGATAACTATGATGATTTTCTTGATCATCGGCATGATCAATCTATTCTTAGTTTATTAGTTAAAAAATGGAAATTATTAACGTTTCCCGATCCCAGTCAATTTGGTGACAGACAATCGAAACCGTATCCAACCCTATTTAACCACCATCGAATCAAATTATAATGCCAAAACTTTTTTTAAAGGTCTCGATTAAACTTTTAGATCGAATTGAAAAGTCGAGTCGAAATTAATATTAGTCCTCCGAATATAGAAAAAAATGAAGACAAGCACAGTTTTTTAAAATGAAAATTTTCGTAATATTGATATTTTTCGCTTTTTGGCGCAAGTTAAACAAGATATTCCACTTTATTAATTATTTAAAAAACAAAAGACATTTCAAATTAAACGTTCACGACATAGTCGCTTCAAATCTTAACTGATATTTAGCAACACAAGATTCACTGTTCCATAATGAATAACAAATCACAATCACATACGGTAGAAAAATATTATTACTATCATCAAATAAAATAGGAGCAACACACATAATATTCTATTCCATTACAAACGTGTTCTATCTAAATACAACATAATAGACAAATCTGTTACAAAAATAATGTCTCTTTTGTAGATCGATATGCATTATAACAAAAAAGTAAAGTGTGTTAAAATATATCATTAGTGTTTTGTTGTTGTCACTTAAAGTTTAGTGATGTACCATCTTTGACATATATTGTGTTAACATCGTCTGTATATTGTTCAATAAATAAATTTTTCGCATCCTCATTTATTTAGGTTCTTACTGTAGTCCGAACAATTAAAAAATCTAACGGCATTAAGTTGCTAGGACATCGTATTTAGTAATCAGTTAATCTGATTTTATTTTGTCCATCTTTTGTTGCCGATCAGATATTGGATGTTGAATTGTTTTGCATCGAGAGACTATTTTATCAAAAATTTTCCGATAGTATTAGCTAAGTGATATTGTTTAGTCTTGTTGATCGATACCCTGTTATCTCGTTAATTACTTTAGAAACAGATCTTTCTCTATCATCTTTAAACTTGAATAAAAATGATACGTACAATGATGAATCATTTGAGCATGATATATAAATTTGTTTTCGTCAGTTTGTATTGAAGATTATTTCCATTTTTTTGTTCAGTTGTTCTTATTTATTAACTAATTTTATCATTATTATTATTGAAATTATTCAAAATTTGATTTTGAAGCGATGACGATGAATTTTTGCCTGTATGTGGTGATTTTGATCAGAGACAATATAGGGTGTAAATGATTAGAAGATACACGATCGTTCACTTAATAACAGAAAGAGGAAATAAATAAAAATTATAGTCAATTGATTCTTCAATATTCTTTTATTGTATTATATCACTATTAATTGTTCTTTTCCTCTAAGACTTCACTTATAATAAAAGATAAAGAGTACAAATACGCACACACACATACGTACATAGACAACTCTCAGTTTCATTTGTTCAAAAGCAAATTGAGAACCACAAGGAAAGGGGTTGCTACAAAAATAGCTCATAGAAAATGTAGCAAGGTAAAATATAGAAAAAGAAACAAGTTTTCATTACACACACACACACACACACACACATATATATATATATATGGGAGAGCATTAATAAAAAAACGCTCAGTCCCACAATATCTACTGTAACAGAATTGCTCTAATTTAAGCTAGTGCAAAGAAATGAAACTCCAAGTTTTTACAAAAAAGACATCAATAACACACACAGGTAGGAAGAGAACAAGCCAATTTTCTTCTAATCAACAGTTTTAACAAAACTGCTTAGTTCACTATCTAAATTAAAGAAAATAAGTGTCAAATGAGAGATAATGGATATTCAGAATACTCACCGTTGTATAAATTTGGTGAATCTGCTATGTCTGATGATAACTGATGGATGATGGGCTCAGAAGTTGAGAGTTGTTCGACTGATGCTGGGCTTTCGGTTCCGCCGTTTTCTTCGTGAACAATGGAAGTGAAAGATGAGGAATTATCATTGCTATTCGCAATAACATTCGTTTCATTAGAATCGTTTGTTGCGGCTGTTGTTTTTGCAACTGTTGGTTGCGATGGTAATGACGATTCTAGAATGCAACAGAAACAGTAGAACTGGCTCTTCGAGGTATCATCTATTCACCGATCAGAATGGATAAGGGTGATGATTTTCCCATCCTACAAACTATTTCGAACTGTGCCAAAATTTTCGTCTTCTTTTATCATTCAGAGTGCGCCGAAAACTTTTGTTCGATCTACTAACAGTGTCTGACAATGTTTGAATTCTTCTACCGCGCACGACAACAATCGGAAGCTTCGCATTTACGAAGAGAATAGAGTGAAACATATCTCAACTGCAAGGTTCACATTGAGGCACAGTTCTAATTTTGGACCTTGTCAATTTCTGTGAGAAATTTCTAAAAGATATCTAAAAAACTCAGTGACTGAACAATTGTTAAATCTCATTCATATACGGAAGCTGTCTCTTTAAAATATTCGGAAAAATCGACAACTCTGGGGGTCGTAAAAGTTAAGTCTAATTTTAAGACCGACGTAAGTCTGGGACTTGACCGTATCACGAAAAAGGCTTAAGTTGGTGATTTGTTTACTTTTTAAAAGTCGTTGACAACAGTGACAAACTTCAAACCTGCAAAATAACGAAATATTTATTCTCTAATCCTTAGAATGTCGTTTTCGTCGAATCGTGTCCTTAAATGCCTGATCTATTCAAAAAATGCGTCAATGACTGAAGTCCGACTTACGTTTTCGATCTTAACTTTAAGACTACATTTCGCATTACTTAAGTCATACTTTGACTTAAGTTTTTTTGTGATACGATACTATAAGATTATAAAAATCTTATAAGAAACCATAAAACTAAAATCTTACCCAAATCTTATTCAATTCTTATATTATGAATTATAAGAATCGTATAATTACAGTATGCATTTCTCTCGACTGGAACATATAAGATTTCCATAAGGTTTCTATAAGATCCTTATCTGATTTCCCCCTGATTTGTTAACTCACCAGATGTAGATAAACCTGCTGTTTGTTTACTTTCATCTTGCACGTGTCTATCGCTTCCATCGGTGTTACCATTATTAATACCAATAGATGTTGTTATAGGTGATGAGGATGATGCTTTTGTAAGGGTTTTAATTGTATTTTGTAATTCTCCACGTTCTTGTTGCAATGCCCGACTTAATTTTTCTAATTTATCCATTTTTGTTTCTAGTTGTCGTTTTTCTTTTTCAATTTGTTTTGTCTATGAAACAATAACAAAATAAATGAACACTTTCTTTTGAATAAAATCATTCACTTACCTCATCGGCTGATTTTTTCTGATTTTGTTCAGCTATTTGCCAACGATGTTGAAAATCTGCACGTTCTTTTTCGAGTTTTTTAATCTTTTTTCCCATCTGCAAACAAGAAGAAAAATTTTGAATAACGACTGTATGACTACTTGTTGCACGCTTACTTTCTCTATTTCAGTATGGCACGATGTTACCATTTGACTACTTTGTGTTATAGCATTTTGAAATTCTTGATACCGTTCTGAATAAATTGTTACTTGTTGTCTTAAACCTAATTCCGATCCTGCTAATTCTTCACATTTTTTAAATAAAACGAGACGTTCCGCTTCCGAAACTTGTCTCTCTTGTTTGATCAATTCTGTTCGTTCTGTTAATAATAAACGCATTTGTTCTAAACTAGCTTCAGTCAAACGTAATTCTAATTCTTTTTGTTTTAATGCCGCTTCAACTTCCTACCAATGCAAGAAAAACCATCTTCATTTAATGTTAGACAAGGGTATGAAGTTCTCTTACTTTTTCACGCAAATCATAATCTTTAACGACAACTGCTAATTGTTCAGATAACTGAACATTTTGTTCTCGTAAACTACTACTTTTCTCGCTGTAATTACTCAACTGAGCGGCAATTTCATCGATTGTTGTCTACAGAATAAACATGCCAGTGTAGAAACAGAGTTCTTCCGAGAACAGCTAAACTTACTTGAAATTTCGTTGCTAATTCTTTTCGTTTACCTTCATCATCACGCTGACGTTGCATGCTTTCATCCTATACATAAAAGTAACAGTTTTTTTATGGAGTCAGTTTCTTCGTTTATTAACTTACGCGAATTTGTTGATTATGACGATGTAATTCACGACATAAACTTTCTAATTTCGCTTTAGCTGCTGTTATACGACCATTCTCTAATAATGTTTGATCCCGTTCACGCATTATCTATTTTAGACAAAATGAGAATGTTTAGTTACAGAACTCATGCGATTTTAGTAAAACAGAAATTTGTATATTTTTTATTTGACTAGAAACATGAAGGTTGGAGATTGCTAGGAAATTGCAAAAGTAGCACTTAAGTCTTTTCAATTCGTTGAAAAGTACGAGTGAAATGTTTTTGTGTTTCCCTACCACTGTTGAACGTTTTTCTAATTCGTTCACTTTGGCACATGCTACACGATATTGTTCTTGAAATTCAGCTAATTTAATACACAAGGACATTAAATTCTTTTGTGGATCCAAATCCGGTAAATTTTTCATTATATTTTCTGAAATAAGAAAAAAAGCTATTAAAAGCTAACTGTACATTTTCTTACAGCAACTTACTCGCTGCCTTTTCTATACGTCGTTTAGTCTCAGCTTCACATGGATTAGTTGTCGGTATTGCTGACGATGCCGTTGTGGTTGCTACTGTTACTGTTTTTCCATTTGCTGAATTCGGTTTATTATCGTCTGCTGTCAGTTTTTTATTTGCTAAAGAACAAGATCATAGGTATCGTTAGATCTCTTTTTATCTGAGTTGACAAGTAAACAATTTACCAAATGTTTCTAATTTTTTCGCTAATTTCGCTCCGATGGGTGTTTGAATATTACGAGTTTTTTCCGGTTTCTGTTCAACAGCAACAATATTATCAATTATATCGCTGACTTCTGATACCGGTGTTGTCGTTCGATCATCAGATGTTTGATTGATTGTAGCGATAATTTGAGACAATTGTTCGTCTGATGATATTTCATCTGATTCAAATAATAAATCATTATCATTGGATTTATCATCAGAGATAACATTTGTAGAATTTGGTTCGATTTCCTTTACAACAGATAAGGAGTTTTGTTCAGTCTGTAAGGCCATAATGAAGTAAAATGTTGTACTGGATCTGAAATGTAAACTAAACCTTTTTTAACTAATATTCTGTTTATCGCATCAAAGTGAGTTTTCTTTTAATCTGAATTTTCGCTTCGATTAAAGCAGCGAAGTTCGGATAATTAAACAATTTCAACTATAATTTTTGTTTTGCCTGCTATACGACTACTTTACACTTCATTCATTAAGTGACTTGTTAAATCGATAACTTCGATTGAAGAATCTCTTCAGAGTGCGGTAGGTGATAAAAAAATAAGTTAATAAAGGAAAATTCGTCTGATCTTCAAGAAACAAGTGACTACTTCTATCATGATAAGAAATCCTCTAGTGAATGTACTTGGGCCCAAGTACTTTGTTTATTGTAACGAAGCCGGTACTTGTCTCTTTTCACAGGTAAATGTACTTGCAGATACTTGCTTCACTTGACAACCGCTTGTCAAGTAAAACTGCAAGTGCTTTCACAAAGTACTTCATAGTAATAAAACCAAGTATTGCAATGTTGGAAAAGTACATGTAAAAGTTCATGACAAGTGGTTTCGAAAATACTTGCCAATTTTTTAGTGTTTATCAAGCAATCAAGCACACCCACTAGAGTACTATCTTACTGGCTGCAGAAGAAATCAAGTTGAAAACATCATGATCACTGCTAATTGAAGTATAAAATTTAGCAACTCTGATAGAAAATACAACAAAGAAACAAATGAGTCGTCAAACATTTAAGGGAAGCAGCACAAATATGAGTGTTGTATGCAATTTTTCAGTTCCTAAATCTTCCTACTATGTTGTGAACTTTCCAGCTGAAGAAAGCTTTATTAAGAACAGTAGCGTCATGGTAACTTTTTGCTGGTTTTTTCCTTTCCACAGAATACCAGTTAATCGAAAGAACTCCATTGAGAAATATATAAATGTCCTTGTTGAGAAGCAAAAACAATATAACACTCACTGTATTATATATTAACCTATATTGGTATTTATGATCATACGAGCTTAGAGATATCACAAAAGTATTCTGTAAAACAAAACTTCGAGTAAACAGCACAAAGACATTTACCACAGGCATTTGCTGATGATATGTGGACGACATCTCTGAGACGTTGGAGAACAATAAAGATCAGTTTCTAGTCGAATAAATTTAAGCATTAGGATATCACTGTCCCGAGATGTTACGGTAAATGTGTAACAATATCATGCTAAAAGTGTAACAATGTTACGGCAAAAATCGGGTATAGTAAATCAGGGGTAGTGTTAGCACAACATGATCTTGTTACACATGTAGTATGACACAAAATAAAACATGACATCACTATACTTTTACCGTGTCAACAATGTTACACATTATCCACGACGCTGCCACACTTTTATCTTGGCATGATCTCCAGGTTGACATTTCTACACTTTTGGCGTGGTAGTGCCATACTTTTAACTTAACCGTTGGAAAGCTTCTTTGTTTTATTATGACTCATCGCTACTTGTTGCTGATTAATCTAATGTTATGTTATTTACATTTTATTTTGTGTTTTTATGTCGACAGACATTATGAGCTTTTGTAGGGAATCAGTGTCATAAGATCCAAAAGTGGAAGAAAAAAGTGTCAAAAACTTCAAAACTTTTCAAATATTTTTTTGTCCGGCGTCATTTAGTAAAAAGGAAAAAAAACTTTTATTTTCATTCATTTTTCTGTTTAATTCAATTCTATCTTTTCAGCTGCTCGATAAGAAACTAACATCGAAAGCGGTGTAGTGAAAATCTGCTCGCTGTGGAACCGCTTTTGGCAGCTGCCAGCAGAGACAGAATCTGTCGACATCGCAACATTTGCGCAGCGCAATTGTAATCTAGTTTCTTGTGTGCTGTTGCGCGCGTTTTTTTTTCAGATTTATTAATGGAAGAACTATAGAATCTTTTTCTTCCTTTGCTGCTATTATTGTTTTAAAACTTGTCATCTTCGTTTTAAAAAACAAAATAAAATTAATCATTGTTTTCTTTATTTTTGGATGTTATACTTACGCTGTTAATCTAGAAATTAATGAATGCGTAGAAGTCTGCCATACGAAAAATATACTGATGGCTAGGGATGCGATCCTGATTGATTCCGCGTTAAGTATACAAAAGAGATTGGAAATCCAGTTAGAGCGACTGTATCTTAGATCAATTTTCTCTACTTTTAAGCTCTGGCAAACCCGTGGTTTCAGTGCACCAGCGACGATATCGTCTAGAACGTTTTAAAAAAAAGGAAGACACATTGAGGAACAAGTTAAGCTCGAAATTAAATAGGAGTTCGGAGATACTTGACAAGTCATTGTGTTTCCTACGCTGTTAAAGTTTACGATCGATCACCTTCCCATCGATCCTAAAAATACTATTCATAACACTAAAAGTGTACTAATGCCACACTTTCCTACCAGGCATTAGGGGGGTGTTTCACAGAAATTCTTAAGTCATCGACTTAAGTCTACACTTAAGTCCATGTCTTATCTTAATTTGAGACAAACTTAAGTTGACGAACTTAAAGTGTTGCACGACTTCAAACTTAAGTTTGTCTTAAAGTTAAGTGCACAACTTAGTCGCACGGTCTTAAGTTAAGTCCGTGCACTTAACTGGTGCATAGATGCATTGCAATCTGCTGTACTTTTTCCAAAAAGAATAGAGTTCGTGATAGTTTGGATATGGCAGGAGCGTATGAAAAATGAAAAATATGGGAAAAAAATTGAAAAAACAAATAAATCGCTATGACTCATTTATAATATCAATCACATATCCATAGATAAATTGTATCTGAATAACCAGCGACTAAATGGTGCCTGAGTCAGGTGTTTCTTGTCAGGGGCGCCTGACAACAAACTGTTAATGAATATGTGAAAAATTTCTAAGCCAAAAGCACAACTTTCTTCCATTTTTGCATCCTTTAGTGCCTGATCCTGAGCGGATTTTGGAAAAAGGACGCTCAATGGTCATGATCTTTAGTACCTGGAGAATTGTTTCCCGTTTCTAGAAGTTCTCTACAACATTGTGTGCGCATTTTTCAAAAAATGTGACTAAACAAAAAAAGGAAAGAAAAAACTCCGATCAATCGCATAATGTCCGTCGACATAAAAACATGTTTTATTGCTATTGTAGCTATCCAGAGTCTATAGTTTCTCCAGAATTTAATTTTCTCTTAACCAGATGTTTTTTCGTACTCGAAGATCATTCATTAAATGACTTTTCTCTGATGGCGGAGTCATTTCGTTGAACAAAACTCTTTTTAACAGAGTGATGTGTCGGTTTAAGGACCCACTCTGCAAAAAAATTTTCTACGGATTTGAACGAAACTTGTAAGAACTAAAGTTCATAATGTGAACAGATTATGATAAAAATGTTTGGCTATCATCTACGAACATTTCGGGTTGAAAGCCCAAAATTGTTAACTGTTGCAACCCAAACATCTGCAGTTTTCTCTGAAACAACGTCGAAATTGAAAAACCTGTTTTTCTTATATTGTCCAATTTTGTTCAGGCTTTCACGAACAAAAATATCTCGATACGTAAAATTTGGAACAAATTTGAATTTCTGACAGTTCATGAAAGGAGAAGAAAAGTAGGTCATATAAATTATATTTTGAGAGTACAACAAGAGGTCTTTTAGTGGAGTACATTTAAGCAAATTTGAGTGCATATTGAAAAATGATATTTAGTGTAACGTCACCTTTTTCAGACTTTTTGTAGTATAAGTTTAGAATTAATACCGAAAATGCTTTATAATGATGAAATATAGCTAATCAAGATTTTAGTATAAAGCGTCTTGTCGTTAAAAGTATCTTCATTTTTTCCTGCTTGTTGACACATGCTAGATACAATAAGACATTTTTGTGTCCAGGACACATTGGAGACATTTATAAAACACATTAATGAAAACAATAACCCGTCATCAATAAATCGTCTGTCATGGTTTCCATAGGGTTTTGCCTGTCAAAAAGAATTCTTTCACGGCGTAATGCCCTTCTCAACAACCACTGATTAACTAGCGCCATTAATTCTTTAATTTCTTTTCTTTTATTTATTTAAATATAAGTCTCAATAAAAACTAGTTAAAAAATGTTATTTGTTTGCTCTAATTCTTCAATTTTTATATCATATTATAAGCACAGTAAAAGTTGAGACAAACTTAAGACACCTACAGACTAGTCTTAACTTAAGCATGGACTTAAGTCTAACTTAAGTTAAGTCTATGACTTAAGAATTTTTGTGAAACACTCAAAATTAAGTCTAACTTAACTTAAGACAAAACGGAGACTTAAGTATGACTTAAGTCTAAGTCGAGGACTTAAGAATTTCTGTGAAACACCCCCCAGTCTTAGAAAGTGTGTTATCATAACACTAAAGGTGTAGCCACACTTTTATACAAGGAAAATGTCTGATATTCTCCAAGTTTTATCCAACCAATAGAAAAGTGATGTCACAGTTTAAGTGTTATTTTTGGCATCCCGAGTATGTCATTGTCACAGTAAAAGTGTATCATCATCGTCTTATTGGTAGTTGTATTCTGGACGATAATGACACGCTTTTACCGTGACTTTTTGATAGTTTTACCGTTATTTTTTTACAGTGTAAGTGAGATGTTCAATTTTGTTTACGTTGATTAATCGCTTCCTGGTAGGTAGACTGAGATGAAAAAAATGTGTTTGTTCTGTGCACTTTGTCGTTTTTGAGCAAAACAAATTCATTGGATGAAAGATTTGAGTTTGAACAAAATTTCCTGTCTTATCACATCATCTCCTTCGGACAAACTACGATTACCGAGATATACGCTATTTTATACTATAAAGGACGCTGTTTTTGCGAATATCTCGGTAATCGTAGTTTGTCCGAAGAAGATGAGGAAAGGACATGAAATCCCATTTTAATTTTGTTTAAACTCAAAACTTTCATCCAATGAATTTGTGTTGCTGAGACTAATGAAGAGCAAAATTGCCACTGATTTTTAGTTCTTTAAAAAACTGAAGAAATTGAAAAATCTTTTATGAAAAGTTTTCACTTTTGGTCCACGTCAGAAAAATGAAAAATGTTTTCGAAGAAACCCTTAAAACTTCAGAGTATAGGTAATCAACTATGATAATCACGAGTCAGCGGCGTATCCAGGGGGGAGGCAAATGGGCAATTGCCCATTTCATTTGGAGATTTGCCCATTGTAATTTTTATTAGTAAGTTTTTGCCCATTGAAATTTTACTTAGCAGATATACCCATGCGGTTTTTTTTTGTATAACC